GTGCGCCACGCAGGACGGCACACTTACTTATTACTCACTCAAAAAAAACCCACATACCTATACAACGTGCTGACTAAGAAACGTGCACATTTCAACATTTGATTCACCACCGTCAGCGATTTCACACGGACCGTCACCTCGAGCAACCCGCTGAGCTCGTGGGGGGGGGGGGGCGGGGGGGTGAATTAGCGGCTGTGTGGCGAGAGCGGCAGCGCGAGGAATGCCGTCCTGCCCGCAAACTCTTGAGCGACCAAAAAAAAACTTGAAAAAGAACACGCTCCAGCGATTTGCTCGCTCACCAAAACAACAAATTCCCACGCTCGTTTTGCCAAATAGTGGCCGCATGACGAAGTCAGCAGAGACATTTTTTTTTGAAGAACTTGTTTTCCCTTCTTGACAACCCCTCCCCTCGCCCGCACCGTCCGGCTGGCTGACTCGCCCCCTGTGCTTATCTAACCCAGGGAGAGGTATTCGTGTCGTGTTTTGTGTGGTTACGGCTGTCGCGTAAGTGGGCACGAAACAACCGAGGCATCTCGTTGCCGGGAAGGGCGAGGTGGGGAGAATCAAAGGCGACGCCGCCGCGGTGGCTAAGAGATGTTGACTCCCTCGCCTGGTATACAGGAGGTCGTGGGCTCTATCCCGACCCTGATGCCTGCTGTGTGTTTGGAGTTTGCGTGTCTCTCTCTCACCATCACGGTGGCTAGGAGATGCTAACTCCCTCGCCTGGTATACAGGAAGTCGTGGGCTCCATCTCGACCCTGACGCCTGCTGTGTGTTTGGAGTTTGCGTGTCTCTCTCTCACAATCACGGTGGCTAGGAGATGTTAACTACGTCGCCTGGTATACAGGAAGTCGTGGGTTCCATCCCGACCCTGACGCCTGTTGTATATTTGGAGTTTGCGGCGTCTCTCTCTCACCATCACGGTGGCAAGGAGATGTTAACTCCCTCGCCTGGTATACAGGAAGTCGTGGGCTCCATCCCGACCCTGACGCCTGCTGTGTGTTTGGAGTTTGCAGCGTGGATCTATTCTCCGCTGTTACTGGTCGTGAACGGGAAGCGAACGCGGGTCCCCTGGTTTCGTAGCAATGACTACACACTCTCTCTCTGTCTCTCACGGTGAAAACCCATCACATCGAATTCATCTATTGTTACTTCCCTGCGATGCTGAACTCGGATGTGGGTGTGCGTCTGGGCTATGCGGGTGGGAGGCCAGCCCAGCCCTCCACAGCCCACGATTGCCCCTTTCTTGATGAGTTTATGGCCATTTGAAGTCAGCCTGGCAAGGCGACATATTGCTTCTGCTTTCTCTTGTTCTTAGCAACAACAGACGAGTTCCTCTTGAGTGTCACCTGGGCGCCCTTCTCATGCTCACACCTCCTGCCGCCGGAGTTGCCCCGAGGATGCAACAATGAACACTCCCCCTTCGTGTCACCTTCACATCAAATCCGCCACCGCCACCACCACCACCACAAATCCGGCAAACTCCATACGGCTCGCAGCCCCCCCCCCCCCGCACACACACAGGGCGCCGCGGTGGCTAGGAGATGTTATGGTATACAGGAGGTCGTGGGTTCCAATTCGACCCTGATGCCTGCTGCTGCATATTTTGAGTTTGCGTGTCTCTCTCTCTCATCACCATCACGGTGGCTAGGAGATGTTAACTACATCGCCTGGTATACAGGAGGTCGTGGGTTCCATCCCGACCCTAATGCCTGCTGCTGCATATTTGGAGTTTGCGTGTCTCTCTCTCATCATCATCATCACGGTGGCTAGGAGATGTTAACTACATCGCCTGGTATACAGGAGGTCGTGGGTTCCATCCCGACCCTAATGCCTGCTGCTGCATATTTGGAGTTTGCGTGTCTCTCTCTCATCACCATCACGGTGGCTAGGAGATATTAACTACCTCGCCTGGTATACAGGAGGTCGTGGGTTCCATCCCGACCCTGATGCCTGCTGCTGCATATTTGGAGTTTGCGTGTCTCTGTCTCATCACCATCACGGTGGCTAGGAGATGTTAACTACCTCGCCTGGTATACAGGATGTCGTGGGTTCCATCCCGACCCTGACGCCTGCTGCTGTATATTTGGAGTTTGCGTGTCTCTCTCCCCCGTTGTTGTGTCGATTTTTCTCCGGTTCCTCCGGTTTCTCCCTCCACATTTAGAATAAACGTCACGCGTTTGGAGTGTTTGGCTGCTGTGCATTACCACGTGATCTGCCACTTCATGGGGCAATCATTTGTGGCCAGGTCGCTTCTGAAAAAATAGCGACAGAGGTCAATGGACTTTAACCTGTAAAAAAAAAGTTTATAGTTGTATAGTTTAGAGATGTATAGTTTATAATTGTATAGTCTATAATTGTATAAAGTCACGTAGAATGGAGATAATAAAATAATTAAAATAAAACATAATAAAATAATATAATTCTCACGACGTTTCGGCCACAACGCAAGCAGCCGTCCTCAGGTGAAGAACAGGTCTGTCGGAAAGACAGCGTCTGAATGAACTAAGCTTGGTGGTGTTGTATTGTTTATAGAATCCCCAAGCGCCACTCTCAGCCCTGTAGCGTTGGGAGCGGAGCTGGTGAGGGGGGAGCTGAGCCTCCCCCCCGCCTCGGTATACGTCGTGGGGGGCGTCCCTGGACGACGTACATCGAAACGACGTAAGTCGAAGCGATGTACAGGGCACGGTGGTGGTGGTGGTGGAGGCTGAGAGGCGATGTACAGCGAGGAAGGGCGGACGATGCTGTCAGCCACGTGAGCGTGGGGTCGATGTGACGGCGTTTTTGCCAAAACGTCAAAGGGGGCAGCCGTAATTGTGGGTGTCACTGCACTGTAATGCCCGGCCAGCAACAAACAGCACCATCGCTCACTCAATGAATCCAACCACCTCCACGCGTCTTCAAGCGCGACGCGAAGACCCGCGGTGGATTTTATTGCTTCCTCCTCCCGGAGGGTCGAGGCGCCGACACTTTTCTCTTTGATGACACGCGTGACACCCATCCACACGCACCCACACACACACGTGACACACACACACACGTGACACACATCCACACTGCACCCACACACACGTGACACACACACACACATGACACACACCCACACGCACCCACACACACGTGACACACACACGTGACAAAGATCCCCCGTATAGCCTTCAATAGACTGTCGGGGCAAGTGCTGTTCGCGAGCAGCATTTATGAAGGTCGTCACTGTGACACACGAGGGGGTGGGTGGCCAGCACCACGCCCGGGCCGCCTTTGTCTCCCTAGTGGCGATGTTTACACACCGCACCAGATGCTCAAATGAGGCTGAGTCGAACTAGGGGAGGAGGCCCAGGACCGGTTCAGATAATCGTCACCGGTGGTGGCCGTGAGCGGGAATCGAACCCGGGGTGCCGAGTTCGTAGCGCAGCGTAGCGCTAACCGCTACACCACCGCTCCCCACCCACCCCCTACCACACAGATATACAGACACACAACACAGACACACAACACAGACACACAACGCAGACACACACCACAGGCACACAAAAACACACCACAGACACACAACACAGACACACAACACAGACACACAAACACAACACATACACACAGACACACAGACACACAACACAGACACACAACACAGACACACAGGCACACACCACAGGCACACACAACAGGCACACAGGCACACAGACACACAACACAGACACACAGACACACAACACAGACACACAACACAGACACACAGGCACACACCACAGGCACACACAACAGGCACACAGGCACACAGACACACGCAGGCATGAGGGCACACAGACACACAGGCACACAGACACACGCAGGCATGAGGGCACACAGGTACACAGACACACGCAGGCATGAGGGCACACAGACACACAGGCACACAGACACATGCAGGCATGAGGGCACACAGACACACAGGCACACAGACACACGCAGGCATGAGGGCACACAGGCACACAGACACACAGACACACGCAGGCATGAGGGCACACAGGCACACAGACACACAGACACACGCAGGCATGAGGGCACACAGACACACAGGCACACACCACAGGCATACAGACACAGAGACACACAGGCACACAGACACACAGGCACACAGACACACGCAGGCATGAGGGCACACAGGCACAAGACACACAGACACACGCAGGCATGAGAGCACACAGGCACACAGACACACACCACAGGCACACAGGCACACACAGACGCACAGGCACACACTACAGACACACAGGCACACAGACACACGCAGGCATGAGGGCACACAGACACACAAGCACACACCTCAGGCATAAAGGCACACAGACACACGCAGGCATGAGGGCACACAGACACACAGGCACACACCACAGGCACACAGACACACAGGCACACAGACACAGAGGCACACACACACACAGGCACACAGACACACGCAGGCATGAGGGCACACAGACACACAGGCACACACCACAGGCACACAGACACGCAGGCACACAGACACACAGGCACACAGACACACAGGCACACAGACACACAGGCACACAGACACACGCAGACAGACGCAGGCATGAGGGCACACAGACACACAGGCACACAGACACACAGGCACACAGACACACAGGCACACAGGCACACACAGACACACAGGCACACAGACACACGCAGACAGACGCAGGCATGAGGGCACACAGACACACAGGCACACAGACACACAGGCACACAGACACACAGGCACACAGACACACAGGCACACAGACACACAGGCACACAGACACACGCAGGCATGAGGAGGGCACACCCCCAGTGGCAAGCCAAGCCAATGGGGACGTGCAGCTTGCACCTCGCCCATCTTTGATGTCAATTGGCTCTGGGCCCAGACAGAAGACGCCGCCTCCTCCTCCAGGAACAGCGCCAGTGGCATCCACCCCCACCCCCAGCGTCGTTATGTTAATGTGCCCAGCGTGGCCGCGTATAAAGCGCAAAAGGGGCTTGGAGCGGGGAAGACATTGAGCTGGGATGGCGTGGAGGTGACTTGCTGCTGCTGCTGCTTCTGCTGTTGGTGCCACCGCTCCTGCCGCTGCTGCCGCTGTTGCTGCTGTTGATGCTCTTGACGCTGTTGCTGCTGCCACTGCTGCTGCTTTTGACGCTGCTGCTGCTCTTGACGCTGGCTGTCCGGCCGGTGACATCGAGGTGGGTGCTGTCGGTGGGTGTTTGACGCCACGAGTGACGGCGGTCCGTTGCCGAGTCGGAGCGAGGATCAGAGACGCGCGGAGACTCGGCAGGAGGAGATCGCGAGGAGGAGGAGGAGGCCACCATCAGCGAGCACGAAGGAGCGGAGCGAGTGAGCGAGCAACACCTCGAGCTGCACGGAGACGGACGACTCCGCGGGAGACTCCGCGGGAGACCGGCGACTTGCCTCGGGTGGCTCGGCACGGCTGCTGAGAACCGCGCTCACGCCGGACACCAACTATCTGTCTCTCTCTGTGTGTGTGGTGGTGGTGCTGTTGTTGTGCGTCTTCTGCTACTACACGGACACAAGCATCTACTTCCAACAACAGCAGCAGCAGCTGCAGCAGCAGCTGTAACGGCAACACCAAACAGCAGCCAATCGCGTAAGGAACGAAGGGAAATTTTGAGTCTCCCGGACAGTTCTGCGAACGAGATCTGACCGAGGAGATCGCGTTCGTTTCAGTTTGCGGAAGATCGCCACCGCCGCCACCACCACCCACCACCAAGAACAACAACACGTCTTGCTGTTAAAGACCAAGCCAGGGTGGTAGCACCACCACCAACCACCACCAACCAACCACCACCAACCACCACCATGATGAACAAAACGGACTTGTTCCAGCAGGCAGTGCGCTCTGGCAACGCCAAGGAGCTTGAGAGGCTCTTGCTGACGATGGGGGGAGGAGGAGGAGGCGGCGGCGGCGGCTGCTGCGACGAGTTCAACGTCAACTCGTTCGGCCCCGAGGGCCACACGGCGCTGCACCAAGCCGTCATCGACGGCAACCTGGAGCTCGTCAAGCTGCTCGTGCGCTTCGGGGCCGACACGCGCCTCGCCAACCGCGACGGGTGGAGCGCCCTGCACATGGCCGCGTTCGCGGGCCACCAGGACATCGTCCTCTACCTCGTGGCGAACGCGCGATGCCACTCGGCCAGGCCCTGACGATGCCGCTGCTCCTCCTGACGATGGTGGCGTGGCGCGGAACCGGGGACCCCCCCCACCGCCACCCCCGCCGCCACCCTCGCCACCGAACGGCATCGGTGGACGATTATCTCCGAAACGGTGACGGGCGACTCGGCCTCAAATGAGTACCCGGTGCGGTGTGGTATGAACGTCGCCACTGGGGAGACAAAGGCGGCCGGGCGTGGTGCTGGCCATCCACCCCCTCGTGTGCCGCGCCGGCCTTCATAGGTGCTGCTCGCTAACAGCACTTGCCCCGACAGTCTGTTAAGGCTACACGGGGGATCTTTGTCTTTGTTTTGGGTGTTCGGTGGCCCTACCTGATGGTGGCCGTCCGTGATTGGCAGCTGACCGAGCTGCTGCTGCTGCTGCTCGGCCTGATGCTGCTGGTGGAACCCACGCTGGTGAAGATCGTGGTGGTGGTGGTGGCATTGGTCGTGAAGTGTTGACGGCGGTGGTGGTGGTGTGGATGGGTCTGACTGGTTGTGATGCTGTTGGTGATTGATAATGATGGAGGTGGTGGAGATAAACGTGGGGACAGTTGTTAAGGTGTTGGTGGTGGCGCTGGTGACGAATACGCATGCCGTGGTTTTGACTGAATGCATGTGATAGTGAGTTTTGTGGTGGTGGAGAAAACTGCAGCAGTTGTTGATGGCGGTGATGGTGTTGAAGTAGCGAATGATGGGCACGGCGGTGACATTTGCAAGGAGGATGATGATGAGGATGATGATGATGAGGATGATGATGATGATGATTGTGTTGAAGATCGTGACTAGGGGAAGCTGCGGGAATCATTCACGAGGAGCTTTGTCGACAAGGCGGTGACTTTGCGATGGTTCGTTTTTTCGTTTGAAACCTTGAACATTTTTCGCACCGTACGTCGCCAACCGTGCTCATCGCAGGTGCCCTTCTGAGCTGTGACGCGTGCTCCTCTCTCTCTCGCGCGCGTCGGTGCCGTGACCGCTGGGTCGGCAGGGTTGGGAGTCTCCCCACGATGCTGCTGATTGGAGCTCTTAAACAAATAACAACGTGAGAGTGTAACGGCTGTCAATACTGCTTTTTCGAAATGAACATTTTTATTTTTTTTATTCATTTTGCTCACGGATTTTGTCTCCTCCTCCTCCTTTGCCCACCACGACACCGAGCCGCATGAGTCGCGCGACGCCGTGGCTCAAGGAGGCTTTGGCCAACAGAGTCGGGCACCACGAGGTGACTTGCTACCGCTACTACCGCGACTACCTCGCATGTACAATGTGAACGCCTGGGACAGGGAGACAGCGAGAGAGGGACACACACACACGAAGGGGACATGTTGAACGAGCTCGGCAAGATGGGACATTACTCAGCACGTCCCTTCGAAATGGTTATATGTCTGTGGGTGTGTTTGTGTGTCTGTGTGTGTGTGTCTGTGTGTGTGGGGAGCGGTGGTGTAGCGGTTAGCGCGCTGCGCTATGAACCCAGCGACCCGGGTTCGATTCATGCTCACTGCCAATACCAGTGACGATTATCTGAACCGGTCTTGGGCCTCCCCTAGGTCGACTCAGCCTCAAATGAGTACCTGGTGCGGTGTGTAGAACATCGTCACTGGGGAGACAAAGGCGGTCGGGCGTGGTGCTGGCCCCCCACCCCCTCGTGTACCGTTCCGGCCTTCATCGGTGCAACTCGCTAACAGCACTTGCCCCTCCAGTCTGTTCAGGCTACAAGGGGGATCTTTGTCTTGTGTGTGTGTGTACATTGTACATCATTTCTCTTGGTGCTTGTGGTTGGGGGGGGGGTAAACAACTGCTGAGTGCTGGCTGGGAAGAGACGGGCCCCCAACACCACCACGAGGAGCGCCTCCTGGCGGGGTTTGCCCCCCCCCCCCCCGGAGCCCTCGGCGCGCGAGACGCGACGCGCTTCGTCTGTTCCGCCACTTTAGTCGAGACACTGCGGGCAGGTTGCGGTGACGACGCACACGCACACACGCGCACACACACGCAGACACACACACGCGCACACACACACACGCAGATACACACACGCACACACACGCGCGCAAACACAAGCGCACACACACGCAGACGCACACACACGCAGACACACGCACGCACACACACACGCACGCGCACACACACACACACGCGCGCACGCACGCATACGCGCGCACACACACACGCGCACACACACGCGCAGACACACACGCGCGCACACACGCGGTTAGCGCTACGCCACGCTACGAACCCGGCGACCCGAGTTCGATTCCCGCTCACGGCCAACACCGGTGACGATTATCTGAACTGATCGTGGGCCTCCGCTAGGTCGACTCAGCCTGAAATGAGTACCTGGTGCGGTGTGTAAACATCGCCACTGGGGAGACAAAGGCGACCGGGCGTGGTGCTGGCCACCCACACCCTCTTGTGCCGTGCCGGCCTTAATGGGTGCTACTCGCTCACACCACTTGCCCCGACAGTCTGTCGAGGCTACACGGGGGGTGGATCTTTGTCTTTGTGCGTGGTAGTGGTGGTTGTGATTTTTAGGCCCTTTGCACGTTGAGCAAAGGGAAGGCTCAAAGTGCACCTAGCCTGGCACAAGCGCCTTACGTTGTAAGTATCGCGGCGACACGAGGATCGGGAGGGAGAGACGCGGCGCGTGGTTTGTGTTGATATTCAATCGTGGCGCTGATCCCGTCTCCGGATTATAAGACGGACTTCTTTCCCAAATATTTGAAAGCAAAAGTTGAGGTTGGGGGGGGGGGGCGGCGATGTGCCTTCTAATTGGGTAGGTGAATGTGAGAGTGTTGAGTGCGGTGTGTAGTAGTACACATTGCCACGAGGGAGACAAAGGCGGCCGGGGGTGGTGTTGGCCACCCACCCCCTCGTGTGCCGTTCCGGCTTCCATAGGTGCTACTCGCTAACAGCACTTGCCCCTACAGTCTGTTAAGGCTATACGGGGGGATATTTGTCTTTGTGTGTGTGGAGCGGTGGCGCAGTGGTTAGCGCGTTGCGCTTGGAACCCGGCCACCCGAGTTCGATTCCCGCTCACGGCCAGCACCTTTGACGATTATCTAAACCGGTCCTGGCCCTCTCGTAGGTCGTCTCAGCCGCAAATGAGTACCTTGTGTGGTGTATAAACATTGACACTAGGGAGACAAAGGCGGCCCGGGCGTGGTGCTGGCCACCCACCCCCTCGTGTGCCGTGCCGGCCTTCATAGGTGCTAACAGCACTTGCCCCAACAGTGTGTGACGGCTACACGGGGGATCTTTTGTCTTGTGGCTAGATCGGTACAATTTAACACGTCGGCTTTCACGACCAATATCATCCATAATAGAGGTTTTTTTTTGGAGATCTGTACAAGTTGATTTGACACCGGTCACGCGTTCGGGGGCGGTAGACGGGGTAAGGGGGGGTCTTCCTTTCCGAAGCGTCTTATAATCCGCAGCATGCGGTATCTGGTACGAGGCCAGGGGAGCAAAGGGGGGGGGGGAGCGATTTACAGATGAGTTGTGAAATGTCGCCCGTGCCCTGCGAAGTCAACGCCGACGCCGTTGAGTTGGGTCGAGTCGAGCGGCACCGCTGGAGCACTTTGTCACCACGCAGCGTGACAGCGCCTCGCTTCCACGCCGCGTCCCACGCCGCCCACGGCGGTGGTGGTTTCGTTGCTTGACGAGCTGCCCGGGAGCCTGGCCCGCATGAGTTCGATGTCCGGCCGCGGGTAAAACCATCAGTGGCCAGCGATGTCTGAACTGCGGTTCTGCTGGACCACCCCTCCCCCCCCCAATTCTCCTTCTATCCCCTCGCCCAGCCACCACAAGCCGTAGGGGGTCAGGGGGAAGAGCGAGGAAACAACACGAAGCCTTCCGGCTTTCCTCCTGCAGTGGACTTGTAAAGGGTCGTAAATTATTGCAGTCTAATAATATTAATTAGCGTGCGCGTGTTTCAATTGATCGGCGCAAAGATCGAAACCTTCATCTCGAATTCAAGCGGTGTGCGGTTACAATGCGAAGAATCTGGTCAAGTGTTGTTAACATCAATTAGCTGGGGTCTTGTTTTAAGTACAACGTAATAACTTGGGAAATTCCCCCCCCCCCCCTCCTCACCAAAAAAAAACCTTAAGGTGCCACACCTCGTCATAGCAACATGTCTTGCGTGTGTGTGTTACTCACTACAACATCGGGGGTGGTGTTAGGCCAGATAAAGTTGAGCTGCTTGGCCACGTGCAGACGCCACTGGGTAGGCCTCTGCCAGCAGGTTGACAAAAAGGGCTGTGAATGATGATGATCATGATGATGATCATCATCATCATGTAAAATACACGCCCGAATGAAATCCTCGATAACGCAGGAGTGGCATCAGCGCGCAGACATTCTACAATTTAATACTCATTTCTTCAGAACTGATTGTGTTTTAGTTTGTTGTCATTCCCCCGCACCTCCGATCGGCGCGGTGGGCTGTGTATGTGCCGTGCTCATCCCGAGGTGCCGACTCGTACGTGGCCAACATGCATACGAGTTTCACAATGCAATGCAACACTTGAATTGTAACCTCGCTCGCGCGTGGAACGGTCTTCCCTTGTTGTTACTCTGCCGCAATTAACCACCGCGGGGTAACGCCGTGGGGTAACGCCGTCGGGTAACCCCGCGGGGTAACGCCGTGGGGTAACGCCACGGGGTAACTCCGCTTGGTAACGCCGCTGGCACCTCCCGGGCTCCTTGCGTGCGTCTGTGGCTCTCATTCTGTCGCAAAAAATCTCGTGCAGCCGCGTGGCCATGAAATATTGCAAACCGTTTCTCATTCCCGCGTGACATCTGCGTGGATTTTCATGTTTTTGTTCATTAGCATTATCGCGTGACGTTTTAGGGTAAATTGGGATTTTTAGGAAGCGGGTGTTTGTTGTCATGTGATGTGGCTTCGATTCGACATTATTTACCGTTGGGTTAGATCGCCATGTAGTTATCCCGTCGTGGTTTTTTTTTACGATAACCCTCCACCACCCGACGATGCAAAGCCAATCAAATCAGGTTTGTGAGCGCGTCAACGGGCAGGGAATGTCATCGGTTACCTACACGACGGACTAACCCGACAAAAAATAAACCGAATTACGTTTAGCAATACCGGCAGCGAAAGGCTGCGTGTGCAATGAATACCCGCCTCTCGTGTGTGTGTGTGGTTTTTTTAAATCGGTACAGAAAATAATAAACACGTGAACGTCGCAGAGTGAATCAAAACAAGTCACGATACGAATGCAAATGCCTGTGAAACGATGTCCACCGTTGCCCATTCATTCGAATAGAATTGCACTGTTGAAATAAAATACTAAAAAAGATGGGCATTCTGACGGCTGGGAACCTCGGGGTGGATGTGTGTGACATTGACACTCTTCTTAAATAACGGGGTGGTCAGTGGTCACAGTACTGATGGTTTACAGATTTCTCGGGTCGTTTCTGTGTACAAATAATGATTTTTAAAAAAAGTTATCTTGACCGTGTGACCGGGACATTACTTGAATGTCGACCTCGCTTAATTTGCAAATGAACCAAGGCCATTGAAACTTTGGTGATATCGTAAAGGGTTGCGGATTTTCTTTTTTATTTGTTGTTAAAGAGAGGGGATATGTCTTGACTACGTACTGCTGCTGTGTAACCCTTCCCTCGATGTGCGAGTTCATTGCGTTGTTAAAGTGTGGTGTTGTGTTAAAAAAAAACTGTAATTGTTTTAGTTTTGATTTTGCATTTGGTGGGGCGCGTGATTCTATGGGCAGACAAATGCCCCTTGCAATCCGGTGTCCCCCGTGATGATGATGATGATAATTGACGCGGCTGTGAGGTGTACGATGATGTCATTAAAACGTTGTCTGTCGTCAAAAACATATGAGATTAAAATCATATGGGTTCCTTTTTTATGCGACGTTTGTTATTTTGTGTTGTTCACTTCGTTGTGCCAATATGTACAAAGTGTCAAACGGACGTTGCCGACTTTAAACAAACATTAATTCGGGACGGAAGGGTGGCCAACGCATCAGTGGTGATCATAACTCGCACCTCGCAGCAAGGCACCTGGGTTAGATTCCCGACTCGGGCGTCTTTCTGCGCGACATTCCTCTGCTCCCAGTGGGGGTCTCTTCGTGTTTGTTGATTGTCCCCATAGCTGCACAAACTCGACAAGAAAGATCAAATATAACTGGAATTGGCCAGAACACCGCGCCTCTCCCCCTACCGTGAAAACTTGGCAGGCCCCTCTTGAGATTCGGCGAATCTTTGCTGGGTAAACAAACGTCACAAACGGCGTCAACAGCAGCATCGTCATCATCGTCGCCATCGCCAAACTAAATTACAACGCAACTCGGGCACGAGTTGTGGGTGAGGCCGAGCCGCTTTGAACGGTGGCGATTGACCGCGTGCGGTGCGAAGGAAGTTCGTCGCCCACTGCTCGCTCGCCAGCTTGCTGATCGACTCCGCTTGGTGGTATCGGCAGAGAGGGGGGGGGGCTGCAGAGGAGGAACGCCTGCCGTAGGGAGCGCGTTTTTCGCCATCACCGCGCCGCTGTCAGTCGGCACACGAAAGCGCGGCTGCCCGATGCACGTGGAGGCAAGGCCGTCAGGCGGTTTGCTCACGTCTGCTCTGACCCATAACGCCCCACGGTAACGCGTGATGAGTTTGTGCACGAGGGGGAGAAGACGCGTCTTCACGATTGGGGCATTTCGAACAGATGGACACGTGACGTGCTGCTCAAACCACTCGCTCTCCGTCGCTCAGTCGCCTCCTGAACGCCATTCTATCGCTACCACTGCCACTACAACCATGGTGACTGCTCCCGTGAACTTCACTCATTGGTTCATCCTCTCATGCCGAGTACTCGGTCAACCAGACACTGACCGCTTCATCTCATCCGCACTGTGTCCAACCACCACACTGCAGGTCACACTAACACACACACTCGCCCACTCACCCACCCACCCGTTCACCCCACCACTCACCACACCGCAAGCAACACACACTTCTCTATCACTGCTCAACTTTGGAATTCTCTCCCAACATCACCATCATCGCCCCTTCTCCAAAGCACTTTACAGCAAAAAAAAACTACCATTGCTCTTATCTCTAAAACTTTGATAATCGTTTCGGCTTTTTGCTGGACGTTGGACGTGTTGGACCTTTGGTGCCTCTGCCAATTAAACATAAACACGTAGACAGAAGCTGCTGTACTTTCAATTCTGCCAGGATGGCAAAATGTCTCAATCGGAAACTGGCCAAACATTCTGGGCAGGACCCTCACTGGGAGAAGAACAAAAACCCCAATTCTCGCGGAGCGATTTCCGCGGTAAATGCTGAAGGTGTTTTGCAGAAAGACAAACTATGTTTGAGCTCATCTCAACAATCGCTGGGGCCACCATTCACCGTGTTTGTTTAGGCAAAGCGAGGAACCATTGTTGCCGTGAGCAGGGTGGCTGCGTGGTGCTGGCCACCCACCCCTCGTGTGCCCACGTGCCGCCCTTCATCGGCGCTGCTGCTGCTGCTACTCGCTAGCGGCACTTGCCCCCAGCAGTCTGCCGGGGGACTTTACGGGGGATCTTTGTCTTTGGAATGTGCGGCTGTGACGAAGTTTTCCTCTCGGTTCTTGAACAGCAGCAGGAGCTTCTGTTACGTAACACAAATACGACGTAATAAAGAGGTTGTTTTTTGTGTTCGATCGCGTAAATATAAATGTGTGGTTCACCACCACCACCCGGCACGTGCAATCAGTCAGGTTTGTCACGTCAACAAAACGTGCCGCTTAGTAACTGCCACTCACTTACATTGTTGCGATCTCATACAAAGAACAACAACCTCGATTATGAATAATATTGATCACTAAAGTGACAAGACAATGCCAACGTGGCCGAGCCGTAAGTGCGGGATCGCGGGTTCAAATCGTGGGATCGCATGCCAGAGACTTTTGCATCGTAGAGTAATCGTCATTTTCACTTTCTAAAGTAGCAGTCTTCCCCCAAAGCTCGCAAGGTGCTGTGCACAGCTAAACCACAGAACATGACACTGATCCTCTTCGTTTCTTTCGGTAAAGTCACGTAGTTAGAAATAAAATTGAACAAATCACGACGTTTCGATTGCAAACACAAGCAACCTTCATCACGTGGGAACAACCACAGCAATAGACAAAATTGCTGCAGTGAGCAAGAGAGCTGCCGTGGCAAATCTTGTCCTGCTGTGGCTGTTTCCACCTGATGAAGGTTGCTTGTGTTGCAATAGAAACGTCGTGATTTGTTCAATTTTATTTTATTTCTACCTACGCGACTTTACCGAAAGAACCAAAGAGGATGGATTCCTGCAGTCACGAAAGCCTCAACTCAAGGATGACACTGATCAATAAAACACACGCGCATCTCACGCGACCCCTCATCTCTCCGCGTCAACCCTCGTTCCGCAGCAGCAGGAGGAGGAGGAAGTCGCTCCTTCTCGGCTGCCCCTCTCGAGGCGCGCGGAATTCTCTTCCTCTTGAACTTCGCGCAGTGGCGGCTGCTGCAGCTGCCCTCGTTCAAGCCGAGAGACTTCATTTGCACAGAGCTCATCACCACCCCCCTCCCCCTCCCTGTGCTGCGCTTGTATTCACACGCGACGACGTGTGTGTATACGGTGAGTCCTCGCTTAACGCGTCGGTGTTCACACCAAAACAATGTGTTTTGTGTCAATAAAAAAAACATTTTATTACCTCTCGTGTGTATGCTGCATTGCTGAGTTAACACTCTGAGTTGCCATTAAGTCCCCATCATGCACTCGGCAGCCCAAAACATTCATCCTCGCCGGCCACCCATTTGTGTTGTTGGACCCAGCCAGCCCCCGCCCCCCCCCCCCCCCCCCCCCCAATGTGCCAAATGAGATCCGCACGGCAACTTGCGGTCCGGCGCGTTCACAAACGCCTGGGCCCACTTCTCGTCCCAGTCCGTCACCGTGCGTCATGCAGCCTGACGCTACACAAACTCTCTCTCTCTCTCCCCTAAGCCCTCTTCGGCGGGGACAGCACACAGCGACATTGACATTTAGCTCCCGCGACACATCGCCGCCGCTGCTGCTGCTGCTGCCATCATGCGCAAGAATAAGAACCACGAGTTACCATGCTGAATAAAGTTGCAGAGGCAACCGCGCTAATCGCACCCACGATTTGCGCAATTGGCTACCTACGTACGGTGCTAAAGAAGTCCACCATGCGTACGTACACACGGACGACATGCTCAGAACATCCGTCCCATCGCGTCCCACGCAGCATATGATTTTCATCCATTGCAAAGACAATGGGCGGCATTCGTTATACGACCATCGGTCAGGTTCCGTGCAGAGAGCCCTCCCACCACCGTGCGAGGATAACTGTGGCATCTCGGTTCGCGGATTGTTGGCAAACGCCGCTCGGTCAGATCACAATCCGACAGACTTCGTGCTCAGCCGGTGCTGTCTTTGACAGTTCCTAGGGCAAGGACTCACTTGGGGAACAATCACTTTGCTGACATGCCCCTTGGTCCTGGAATGAATTACAAACGATGTTACAACTGAAGAAGAGGGCATCACCGTTTGATTTCAAAGCTCTGATAAGAAGAAAATCTCATTGACCATTGTAATTGTAACGTATTGTATTGTACTATGTCGTATTGTGTGTGTGTGTGGTGATTTATTTTTGCTGACTTCTTGCAAAGCCCCCTTCGCAAAAAGAGAGCCGTTTTCACCTTGAGGGTTCTTTACCTGGATACATGAAGGTGAAATAAATGAAATAAAAATAGGCACCCTGGCATTGCAGGAAAGGTTAGCATCTCATTTGTTTTGAAGCTTTCGTGACTGCAGGAATCCATACTCTTATTTTATTTCTGTAAAGTCACGTAGGTATAAAATACAATAAATCACGACGTTTCGGGCGCAACACAAGCGTCCGTCATCAGGTGATGATACCTACGTGACTCTACCGAAAGAACCCAAGAGTATAGAAATCTCACTTGTTGGCAAGCGGGGCCAGACGATCTCTCTCGCCCGTTGTCGTTCAGTGGCCTATCCAAGCGCCCCACCACCCCACACCTCCAGCACTCCCCCCTGTCCTCATCGTTTCGCGCAGCAGCAGCAGCAGACAGCCGTCAGCCCCCACCGCCGGCCCTCGCCACTTCCTCGGCCGCGCGTGCGCAGTTCGTGCGAAGCGCGTGCCGTGGAATTAAACAGAAAAGTAAACATATTCTTCGGTTTACTAATAGGGTTTTTCCCCTTTTTTCTGGCAACAAAACTGATACCTTTTGCAAGGAATCATGCTTACATTAACCACAATACCTGCAGTCAAATGCAAACAAAAAACAATACTCTTCGGTTTTTTCGGTAAAGTCACGTAGGTAAAACATTAAAATTAATAAAAGTGAAATAAAATAAAAATTACGACGTTTCGGAGGCAACACAAGCTTCCGTCTTCAGGTGGCTTGTGTTGACTCCGAAAGTCGTGATTTTTATTTTATTTTACTTTTATTAATTTTAATGTTTTACCTACGTGACTTTACCGAAAAAACCGAAGAATATGAATCCTTGCAGTCACGAAAACTTCAAATCTAGAGAGAAAAGTAAACGTTGAGCGTCGCCCGAGACGATTCATGGGGAGTCGATCACACAACGCCATCAGATCGTGCACGGGGCCAGTATGTGCGGAACCGACTCGTCTCTCTGTTCGTTCGAGAGGGAATCACAGAGGAGAGCGCAATCATCACCCCGGTGGGGCGCCGCGGTGCCGAGATGTTAACTCCCTCGCCTGCTGTACACGAGGTTGTGGCTTCGATCCCGACTCTGACGCCTGCTGCTGTATATGTGGATATTGCATGTTCTCTCTCTCTCTCTATCCCCGTGGTCGCGTGGATTTTTCTCCGGTTTCCCCGGGGATTTCC